GGCCTGTAGAGATACTCACCTCATTGAGAGGATAAACTTTCTCCTGTCTGCCCTTGTCATCCTGAGCTCGCTGGCATTCACCACCGGATCCTACAGCTACATCATTTCTACCATCCTGCGCATCCCCTCGGCCCAACGACGTCAGAAAGCTTTTTCCACCTGCGCCTCTCACATCACCGTCGTCTCCATTGCCTACGGGAGCAACATCTTTGTGTATGTGAGACCCAATCAGAACCAGTCACTGGACTTTGACAAGGTAGCTGCTGTCCTCATTACCGTAGTGACCCCCCTGCTGAACCCTTTTATTTATAGCTTGAGGAATGAAAAGGTGAAAGAAGTGTTGAGAGAGGCAATGAACAGAATCATGTCCCTGATACTAAGGAAAACCTGACGTTAGCATTTAGTACATCAGGGAACGTTTCTTATCTTCAGCACATTCCTTCTGTGTGAACACTGTGCCACGTTGGTTTGTCGGAAACCAGAGACTATGTCAGCAGGATGAGAAATGCCCATACCAAACTGAAATGAAATTCTGCTTACGTCTGAAAAAAAAAAACAAAACTAACCCATGAACTGTCTGGTATATTCATAGCTTAGAATTATGAAATGTTACCTGACAGGAATTCAGAGGTCTCCAAATCTAGTTTTGGCTGAATCAGTTTATTTTCCAGGTGACTTTGACCATTTCAGAACGTAGCCTCCACATCCCCATCTCTAAATGAAATAAAGTATCACTACTTGTAGTGAGACACGTAAGTTAGAGAATTTTAACTTCTTGAGAGGCACTCGAACAGTTCAAGAGACTCAGTATTCCCCTCTGTGAGCCAGATCAAGTAAATATGATGTGAGGAGTGAGGGGGAAAGAGGTGAGATTCAGGATGGTATCAAGCCCTCTGGCTATAAACCTCAGTGAGAGGTGGAGATAATCGATGAGAAAAGAAACACAGGAAAGGCAGGTGAGTGGTGGACCTGTTGAGTTCCTGGAGGATGTCTAATTGTAAGTTGTCGGCTAGGTTATTATTTGAAGCTTAGGAAAGACATATGTCCTAGAAATATAGTTTAGGAAATCATCCAACATATTAGTGATAATTAAAGAAATAGAAGTGGCAGAGATCACAGGAGGATAACAAAAGGAGACAATCCACAAATTAGATTAAGGATGGGTGACCAATGAGAAGAAAAGCCAGGAGAGTACGAGATCATGAGATAGGATGAAAGACCAGGGGGAATTAATCCAAGTAGCGTGATAAAGAGTTAAAAGCATCTGTTGCATTTAGTCGCAGCAGATCATGAATGACTTTGGTAAAAGTTCAAAAGAATTTGGGGGTAAAACCAAACTACTGTGTAGATATAAAGAAATGAAGGTAGCAGAGTGTGTAATGGAGAATGTAAATACAGACAACACTTTCCAGAGCATGGACTGAGAATATAAGCACTATTGTAATATGAAGGCAACCTGGGTTAGAAAAGGTTATTTTCTAACAGGGAGGGGTTTGTCTTTTTAAAATATTGATTGGAGGAGTACAGTGGTGGAGAGGGGAGCAGGGAGTGAGCAGTATAATGACCTGAGATGGTCAAAAATGACAACAAGAGCTCTAGTGGAAAGTTAGCTGTTGGCAGAGGTTTGTAAAAATACTGATAAATAGGAATGAAGGAATGCAGAAGTGGAACCACGCCGGGTAACAACAGGGAGAAAATTGTCAAAGTGCCTTTCGATGGATGGCCCAAAGTAAGCCTTAAGAAGAAACTTGGCACCTAACTCCAGGTAGGAAATGACCAAAGGAAAGGATAACTTCAATAATGCTTGCAGACTAGAGTAAATGAGCTAAATCCATCAGTGAGTAATTTAATATGTCAATGCACACAAGTCAAAGAAAATTGCTCCTTCCTTCATTTACCAAATATTGCTTGAGCGCCTACCACATACCAACAAACAGAGCAGACAAAAATCTCTGCCCCCAATAAGCTTAAATTATAGTTGGGAGAGCCATGCAATAAGTAACATATGGACAGAAAGTATCTAAAAATTACATGGTGACAAATTTGTGGAGAAAAATAAAGCAGGGAAAGGGAAGAGGGAGTTTGGGGGCTGGAGTTCCCACTTTAAATAAGGCAGTTAAGGAAGCCTTCTCTGAGAAGGTGAGCTCTGAATCAGGATTTGAGGATGAGAGTGTGAGCCGAGTGGAGAGTATCTGGGAGAAGATGATTACAACAAAGTAGAACAGAGGCCCCAGGCAAGAGGGAGGGACGCAAGCCCTCGTGCTGTAGCAACCAGCCGCTGAGAGCAGAGGTCACCGGAGAACCTTGCTGCTGGACTCCAAGGACTGGTGGGAGCACCAAATGGGGAGTCAAGTTCATCAGCATACTGCACTAGAGCTAACCACCGGATCATCGGACCACACCCTCCCACATTGCTAAGGAATGGATAATTAAGCACAGCCACATACAAGCAGTAAATACCGACTTTCTGTAAGAAAATGTATTCTTAAGTAAAATTATACATGATTTACTCATAGTATCACTTTTATTTTTTTCAATGAACTCCTTTCTTAACAAGTTTTGCAGTTAAAGACTACTTTATATACTTCAAAAAAAAAAGAGAGAAAGAAACCTCTGAAGTAGGGACAGACCAAATGATTTCATTTCTTTGTAGTTTCTAGTTTCTCAAAATCTGGTTCCCAAACCAGCAGCATTCGCATCACCTGGGAACATACCACAAATGCTTGAGGCATACCCTCAGGCCGGCTGCAGCCAAAACACCAGAGATGAAGCCCAGCAATTTGTGTCTTAGCAAGCTTTCCAGATAATACAGAAGCAAGCAAATGTTTGAGAACCATGGACTTACGGAGAGCCAGGCAGGTAGTGACCGAGACACGTATATCTTTGCTCAAGAAAAGCCTTGATTAGACATTGCTGGGAAACTGGCCTTATAGTGTACTCACTATCTGATTTTTTAAATCATAGAACACACAGTATTATTCATATGATCATTATTTTGATGATTATCTTTATTCCTATCGTTAAGTACTGAATTAGATCGGTTAGCTTATTGGTATCAAAATGATTGAGTTCGTTACAAAAACTGAGTCTGTTCCTGTCTGTGGAGAAGTACTTTGCCAGAGTACTAGAGAAAGCTGCTTAAGTACTTTGCTTTTTCTGAGCCTTGGGCACCTGGGAATGAAATAAGGAAGACTTTCAAAACAGAGAGTTCCCAGCACTTGTATTAAAGGCCAGATTGGTTGGTCCTTCTCTCACTGACCTAAATCGTTTATGATCTACATCTTCTTTCTGGCTTTTTCTGGCCCTGGGGGAAAAAAATTTAAAAAGCTTTAGTTTACATGGCTTAATTACTATTGTATGCATGACGGTCATTTTCCTTGTAACTCACTATGCTGTCTGGTATTTATTCATAAAAAATATGTTGAGTACACTTATTGAATCCATATAGCAGAACCTATGAATTTTTATTTTCATTCTGACGTTTACTGTCAGTATGATCGTGGGAAAGTGACTTAGTCTCTCTGTACCTCAGTTTCCTTATCTGTAAAGCGAATTTGATAGTAATTTCTATGCTGTTGGTTATTGTATGATAAACTTAAAAGCACTTATATCAGCACATCACTGAATAAATATTAGCTATCCCTTTAGGACACTGTATAAAGTTCTATGGGAGGTTCTGAAGATAAAAGGATAAACAGGACATGAACTCTACCCCTAAGTAACTCACATTTTAATTTTTAAAAAATTACATATAAGAAAATATTGTGAATGATACATCTTAAAAATAAAGGCATTAATCCTTTAGATTTTGGCCATGATGGAGTAGTAGAGCTTTTATTTAACATTGTGACTTAAGCAAGCAGAAAATGGCAAAAGTACACAAAGTAACAGTTTTCAGACGTCGGACAACACGCAGTGCAGAACTGTAATCACTGAGAGAAGGGAAACAAAATGAGCCCTACAGTCACCCCAGCTTGCAGGCTGAATGCTGTTTCCAGGCTGCAGCACAGGGACGGAGATTCACAGAGGCTGGCAGTGTCTCTGAACTGAACAGAGATCAGAGTTCAGGGAAGCCAGGTGATGTGCGTTTCCAGAGAAGAGGAACAGAGATGGGAGAGGTTCATAGAGAGGGAACTCTGGGCATATGCAAAGGGATCCCCTTGGTATTCTGGCTGATGGTGGGAGATTCGACTTCCAGTAGAACTTGAGCTTCATTATATGCTCATTGTAATTTATTAGCATGATAAATGATACTCCCCCAGGTGCCATGACAGTTCTGAGTCTGATCATAAAGGTCAAAAAGTGGGCAGTGGCCCAGTTCCTGGAAATCACCGCCCCTTCCCCAAAGTAGTTCGAATAACACTCCTACTTCGAGCACGTAAAGTTATCGAGCCCATAAAAACTAACAACCCCACACCTCATGGCCTCTCTCTGGCCTCTGAAACAGCCTGAACTCTGTCTATAGAGTATGTATCTCTCTGAATAAATCTACTTTTACTCAACTATGGCTCACTCTTGAATTCTTTCCTGCATGAAGCCAAGGACCCACACTTGGTGGGGTTCATCTCAGGGACTCCTCTTGCCCCACATTTTTTTCCTGAATCAAAGGTGTAAACCGATTCATGAGAAATCAGTAAGCCAAAAAATTCTCAGTGAGTGCATAGGGATGGAAACAGTGTTTGTTCCCATCAGCCAGACTGGAAAGACCTTTAATAAGTGAGGCATTGGAGTAAGGGGGATAAATTATCCCTATTCCAAAAGAAAACCTAGCTTTTTCTTAAAACAGTTTCAAAGCAATACTTGAAAGGATCCACCTGGTTTACAAGTGACTTCAGTGGCTAGGAGAGCAAAGTCTACCACACTTTAAAAGAATATAAGTAAATCCATGATTTAATTAAAAATGAATGATACCCAACATGCAAACAAAAATTTTGAGGCATACAAAGAAGCAGGATATTGTTATACATAACTGGGAGGAGATTCATGAAAGGAAACATCTGAGCAGTGTGGACTTGCCTGTCCTACCTGATACAGCAGAGACAAAGAAGGGTAAGACAACATTACAATTTGTGGAAAGGAGATATTCAAGAATGCCTTCAAAGTCTGAAAGTGGTCCAACATGAATTAGAAGAACTTTCTGGACACTATTATATTTACAAATTTAATCTCTAATGTTTCTATAAAATCAATTGTCAGGGAGGAAGAGATTTTCCTCTGCCCTTCTAGGTTCTTCTGGCTGGTCTAAGAAACAGATTGACCTGAGATAGATTAACAGGAGGAAATCAAACAGAAGTTTGATAACACATATATGGGAGAAACCCAGGAAGAAACCCAGGTAACTTGCCAAAATGGCCAAAGCCCTCACCTTAAAAGCCATTTTCAGCTGAAGAC